GGGGGGCTGAGTAAGTAAACAGATGGATGCTGATGATGCAAGAGTTGGGTGTGAAGAGGTGAGTGGAAATCCAGTCTGAACTCCTTTCCTTTTGAGGGATCTCAGAGCCTGCCTCAAATTAAATGCTTTTATCCATTTCTCCTCCACCCCTTACCAGCCCTTCTGGGAAACTACCCAGAGTACCCAGCTAAGCAGCCACTAAACATGCCACTAAGAAGGGCCCAGATACTTTGGTCATCTGGTTTGCTTCACATCCTTAGCAAATTCTGCATACCCTCTAATCCCCTCTTAGAGCCTTCTGGCATTGAGTAGGCCTGGGTCTCTTGCAGGTTGAACAGGAGGGCGTCACAGTGAAGGGCAGCTCCCACTTCAACCCGGACCCAGATGCAGAGACCCTCTACAAAGCCATGAAGGGTATCGGTGAGTGACCATCTGCATCCTTTGCACTGGCGAGCTGTGCCTAAGACTCTGTTCACCATCCTGTAAAGCAGATGTTAGAGGACAGCCGGGAAGGGGCGGGGGGGGGGAGGGAGTCAGAAGGGGGGGAGGAGAGGGTCCTGTTTTACTCTGAGAGTGATTTCTTTACCCAGACCATCACACAGACCCAGGTGTGGGTGACCATTCCTTCTTGGGATAACGAAAGAGAAATAGGGACAGCCAGCTGCTGTGTCCATCTGGGCAGGATTTGGTGCAGGGCCTGGCACAGAATACAGGAGTTCTATAGAGCTATACACAGGCCTATGAGACATCAGCTGCATGATTGGTTCGGCCTCCCATGGTGGCTGGCCAGAGACCCCACTTCCTTCCTGCCTCCAGTGTCTACCCAATGCTACCCTCCACATGATGGAGAGAGAAAAGAATGGCCTATGCCAGCCTTTTGCATGGCTCCACCCACAAGCACAAGCCCTGTTCTCCTCCTACCCTGACAGGATCAACCACTCAGCTGGGTGACAAACCACCAGGAAGGGTCTCAGATCCTTTGGTCTGGATTCTTTGTCATGACCTTCCCCAGCCATACACAGCACAAAGGAGGGACAGGTGGGAAAACTTAATTGGCCAAATTCCAAAAAGCCCAGGAATAATGTCAGATTCTTTCCCTGTGAGACTGGACCTGGGTCACACCTGACATCGTATGGGTGGGAGGTGGAGGGGGGGCGAAGATAGATTTTCTAAGCATTTTGTTTACACTATGAAAATCATCTGGGCCTTTAGAGTTGTGCAGGTAATGGTCTCACTGCTCAGTTACCAGGCAGCTGTCCCCTCCCCTCCTTTGCCCTCTCCATCCTCCTGGAAGGAGAAGGGACACTCATGCTGTGTACCTCTGTAGGGACCAACGAGCAGGCTATCATAGATGTGCTCACTCGGAGAAACAATTCCCAGAGGCAGCAGATTGCCAAGTCCTTCAAGGCTCAGTTCGGCAAGGTAAGGAGACTGCTGGGGGTTGCAGCCTGGGGGCAGCTCCAACCTGGATGATCATTTCTTTCAAACTCCCTACTGGAAAACAAGCATCTGAGACATTCATACACTGAAACTATTAGTCCTCTGTGTATGTGTTTGTGTGTGTGTGTGTGTGTGTGTGTGTGTGTGTGTGTGCGCGTGCGCGCGCACACGCGCGCATGCCAGTACTAGAGCTTGAACTCAGGGTTTGAGATCTAGCTTTTTGCTCAAAGGTAAGACTACCATTTGCACCACAGCTCCACTTCCAGCTTCTTACTGGTTGATAAGAGTCTCTCAGACTTTCCTGCCAGGGCTGGCTTTGAACTGTGATCCTCAGATTTCAGCCTTCTGAGTTAGGATTACACGTATAAGCTACCGGTGCCCAGTAAAGTTATTACTCTTTATTCATCTGAAGTTCAGGTTGAACTGACTTCTGTTTCATCTGGCAGACCTTTTTATAACTTCTGAACTTCAGTATGGTGCTGGCCTTCAGCTGACCCACTTCCACTTTAACTTTCTCTATCCCCTGGTCTTCATATTTAAGGTGTTAGCCTTTGACCTGAGGTCTATTTCCTGCCTTCTGGCTCTTTCCTACACCCCTTCAATGAAGGCCTGACCCCCTTCTCCTCCACAGCATAGGCATATACTATCATGTTGGAGCTACTTTGACTCTACCTTATCCCTCTGCCCACTAAGAAACTCTACAAGCCCTAGTACACTCTACCTGCCCTAATACAGAGCCAGACATTTAGAATTGCTCATAGAACATAAAAACAAATGCAAGTGCCTCATGCCTGTAATCTCAGCAACTCAAGATGCTGAGATTTGAGTCATGGTTCCAAGCCAGCTCAAGCAGAAAAATCCATGAGACTTTTTTCTCCAATCAAACATCAAAAAGCCAAAAGTAGCTGCAGCTCAAATAGTAGACTCCAGCCTTGAGTCAAAAAGCTAAGGGACACGTACGGTGTATAACATGTGTACACCATTGTATGTTATAGACTGTGATAGACAATTTACTCCAGGAAAGTTAGAATGAACTTGTGACTTTAAATGAGCATCATTATTCCACAATACTGTGAGATTCAGGAAATTATGTAATCACTTAATCACAATTTAAAAAAAAAAGAACCTCAGGGAAGGTAGGGAGGGAAGGGATGGTAGAGGGAAAACAATGGAGGGGGTAACAATGTTCAATAGGAAGTGTACTTATTACCTTACTCATGTAACTGTAACCCTCTGTATAGTATCTTTACAATAAAAAAAAAGCTAAGGGACAGTGTTCAGGCACTGAGTTCAAGCCCTAGTACTAGCATGAAGGAGGAAAAAGAGGAAGAAGAGGAGAAAGAGGAGGATGAGGAGGAGATCAAGGAAGAGGAAGAGGAGGAGGAGAAAGGTTGGGGGCAGGGGAAGGGGAGGGGGGAAGAAAGAAAAGAAAGGAAAGCAAAAAGGAAGGAAGGAAGGAAGGAGAGAGAGAGAAAGAAAGAAAGAAAGAAAGAAAGAAAGAAAGAAAGAAAGAAAGAAAGGAAGGAAGGAAGGAAGGAAGGAAGGAAGGAAGGAAGGAAGAAGAGTAGGAGGAGAAAACATTGGTTCAAACTCTGAAAGATTAATTACATCCCCTTGGAGAAAAAAAATCAATATAAATTTTTACTATTCCTCTCTTAATCCTCAGAGCTATTTTTTATTCTCCAAATTCAACACTTGGAGTAACCGATGTTCAGAGAAAACTGAGTTACCCAAGGTCCCAAAGCCTATAAGCAATAAAGTTGGGATTTAAATCCAGGATGACAAAGTCCTTGGTCTCTGTTGCTCTCTGCAGATAGCTTGATATGGCCTGGTGATTCTTTGGACACAAATCTTTAAAAAGAGATATGCTGAGATATAACCTTTCCTTCTTTCCCTTTCTTCTTCTCTCTCTCCTTTCCTCCCTTTCTTCCTCCTGTCTTTCCTCACTTTCTTCCTTCTTTTCCTACCTTTCTCCCTTTCTTCCTTTCCTTTCTCCTTCCTTTCATCCCTTTCTACCTTCCTTCTGTCTTTGCTTCCTTCCTCCTTCCCACTCTCCCTTCTTTCTTTCTTTCCTTCTTCCCTCCCTCCCTCTCTCTCCCTTTCTCTTTCCATTCCTTCACCTTTCTTCCCTCTCCCCATTACTCCTTCCCTCCCTTCCTCTTTTCCTTCCTTCCTTCCTTCCTTTTTCCCTCCTTTCATTCCATTTTACCTCTCTTCCTTTTTTTGCTTCCTCCCTCTCTCCCACTCTTCACTGAGTACCTCCATGGCACATGGCAGGCATTCATTGGTGCGCTGAGCACCATACTGCCTCCCACAGGACTGTACAGTCTCCTGTGAGCCTCGAATGTGCCCAGTACTGCTTACATGCTGAGTTAAGTCACACATCGATCCATCACTCCTTAAGCAATGGTACAATTTTCTCCTACTCCTTCTTCTTCATGCTTAGAGAGACTGGGCAGCTGATTTAAGAGACAGTAGCCAGCATGTGGCAGAGGCCATGAGGGCATGTAGCTTGAACTCCTGGGCACTCCTGTGGACCTAAAGGACAGCCAACTCATCCTGTCTTCCCTTGTTCTTTCCTTAGGACCTCACTGAGACCTTGAAGTCAGAGCTGAGTGGCAAGCTCGAGAGACTCATCGTGGCCCTCATGTATCCACCATATAGATATGAGGCCAAAGAGCTACACGATGCCATGAAGGTAAGTGCATGAGTCCCCACGGCTGAACCCAGTGAGCTTACCACCTGCTACTCAGACAGTCATCCAAACCCCGGATTGACTGGCTATAATGAAGCCCAAGTCGGTTATGTCTCAGAATGGGATTAGACCAGGTATACAGTAAAGTTAGAAACCCATCTCTGAGTGATAGATATATGGCTCAAGGGTATCATACCAACCTAGCAAGTCTTCGGCCCTGAGTTCAAATCCCAGTACTACCCCAGAAAAGAGAAATATAGAAATTCACATCTACAGTTCCATGCATGACCTCCCAGACCCTCCCAGATCCTCTTTACTCCATACCAATCCTTTTGCTTTTGTAGATTAGAAAGGATCTGGGAGCCAGGAGAGTGATTATTTCACTATTATTTCTATGTGAAGGAGGCCAGGCACTTGCATACATCAGGGTAGAGACGCTTATTACCCTCATTTGTAAATCAAAATACTTAAGCTAGACAGGTTAGAGCCCACTCCACCCCCAGATGAGACCACCCAGCTAAAGAGGGGTTGAGGTAGAGCTTTCCCTAACAGGTTTCTTCAGGAACATCCCCCTAACAAAAGCTCCATTCGAGTCATGCCAATGTTTGCTGAGGCTTGGGAAGAGGGATAGAGTGGAATTTCACGCACAGGCAGAACACTCCAGCACAGATTTCTGTCTCCAGGGCTTAGGAACCAAAGAGGGAGTCATCATTGAGATCCTAGCCTCCCGGACCAAACACCAGCTACAGGAGATCATGAAGGCCTATGAGGAAGGTAAGGGGCTGTCAAGGTGGAGGGGAGCTGGGGCCTGAGTTAAAGTCTTGCTTGGTACTGGCATGGGTTTTGGCAGCCTGACAGGGAAGAAGGGTCATGCAGTTCCCAAGGGAACTGGGCCCCATTAGAAAGGCCCTGCTGAGCACCTGTGTGTGCCAGCTCAAATGTGATTCAGACCCAATCTCAAACATGCTGCTAAGAAGAGCGGGCATGTGCCCAACTCAGATTTCTGGCTGTACCAGAAGCAAACAGGCTGGCTCCTTCTTAGCTGTTCACAGACTGCAGAGGGTCATCATCTAGGGCCCCACTGGGGTCTTTGTTGTTGCTGTTGTTTCTTTTTTTTTATCTTTAATTAGTTTGTTAGATATGTCTTCAGGATACTGGGATGACATATAGAAATGAGCTGGACAAGGCAAAGTTTACATTTGTAGAAGGTGAACCCTTATTTGGAAAATATGGCAAAGAAGCACACAGAGCCACCAGGCTGCTCCTGGCGGAGCAGCCCTAACACAGCAGGCCCCACCTCCTTGCTCAGATTGACTGAGCTCAGATTCACAACCTGCAAAAGGATGTAGCTTATTTAACAGGGACAAGATGTAACTAAAATTCTGTGAGCTTTGTAACAGAATATCTTAATTAAGATATTAATTGATATTGATTAATTAAGGTATTAATTAATTAATAATGTAGCAGGAAAAGGACCTAACTAAAATTTAATCAACAAGGTCCAAGCTACCTAGCCAAAGAAGGAAGTTTTCAGAAAAACAGTTCTCACAGGATTGACAGAAAGGAAGCAAGCCATTTTGACAGAAAAAACCCACTTGGATTAAAAAATAAAAAGATGGCTTTTCCCACAAGTTGTACAAAGGGGTTTCAATTCAACATGTCAGCTCATGGCATGAGACATCTTTAACAATGTCACCCCTTTCATCCTTCTCCCAATTGTCTCCCAACCCCACCATGCCCTCAATTTTCCTAGCTCTATTTCTACATACATACATTAAATAGTATGACTGAATTCTCCTACTCTCTCTCTCCATTTGTCTCCCCTTACCTCAACCCCTCTGAAGCCTCAAATTGCAGCTCCTTGGTATTCATTTTGTTAGTTGTAAGTTAACTGTTCAAAGGAATTACACCATTGGAATCCTCCCCTTACAAATACCACACATATACATGTAACCCTATATGTTTATATACATATTTACAAATTAGATTTAACTTCTTCATTAAGAGAGAAAGCAGGCTTCCTGAGCCTGACTTACTTCACTAAACATCATTTCACCAGATCCATCTATTTCTCTACAAATGATATAATATTATCCTTTTTGATGGATGAATAAAATTCCATAGTATATATCTACCACATTTTCTTGATCCATTCGTCCATTGAAGGGCATCTAGACTATTACCCTAACTTGGCTATGGTGAATAGTACAGTAATGAAAATGGTTGTGCAAGTGGCTTTGTTGTGTCCTGACTTGTAATCTTTCAGATCAGTGTAGGACCCCATTGTGTGGAGAGCATAGACCACTGTCCAGCTGCTCTTCATAGTCACAGGTTACAAATCAAGCAAAGTCAACTAGTCCTCTGTGCTGTGGATATGGTGGCAAGTTTGTCTGTTGGCTTCGGTTTTGCCAAACCTGACAATGATATGGAGCCCCACTGGCAGCCCCTACCTTGGCTCTCTGGCCTAGCCCATTTCTATGCCTTGAGTGTCATGTCAATCTTGGTTCTGCATGAACACCCAGGTGACAAATCTGTCACCCTGATATTGTGTCAAGACCAGGTCCCCACTCTGTGATATCTGAGAAGAAAAGTGTCATGGAGATTCAGAAGAAGAAAAGAGAGAGAGAGACCTGAGGTATGGGAAGTTCTGTGAGGCATGAGTGGCCTGCATATATGGGTACAGGGTGAGATGTACATGTCCAGATCTCTGCATATCTGTTTGCTGGTGGAGTGCTGGGTGCTCAGTACTCCCAGAAATGGGAGGATCAATGTCTTGGACTTCCTAAAAGACTTGAGTCTGAAAAACAGGTCCTTTGGATCAATTCCTAGGTCAGCCCCTTTACCTTATGGGCTTGTTTCCCTGCAGACTATGGGTCCAGCCTGGAGGAAGACATCCAAGCAGACACAAGCTGCTACCTAGAGCGCATCCTGGTGTGCCTCTTACAGGTATTACAGTCCAGGCTCCTTGGAGTTCTGTGACTTGAAGATCTCAACAGCTCCACCTCAGGGAGCAGGCCTTAAGCTGATCCAGTGGAGTAGAGACTGGGACATTGAACAACACAGTGGTTTGTTTACATCAGCTGTGTCTGATGATGGAAGAGTTCTCTCTGTGGAGCCCCACTCCTCTTCAGGCTCAGCCAGATGAAGCATCTAGGAAAGAAGAGGAGAGCATCCTGTCGTTGAATGGGTCCCTCATGCATGCCCTAAGCCAGACCTTTGGCCTCCCCAATCCCAATGAGACAGCCCTCCTACTCCCAATGAGAAAACTGAGGCTTGAGGATGATAACCAACTTGCTCAAGGCCCCATGGCCAAAAATGACAGTTTTGCTCTGACACCTCTCTAAATCCCACTGTCTTCAGCCCCTTGTGCTCTGACCTGCTGTCCTATCTTACAGAGCCATCTCTTCTGTTCCTAGGGCAGCAGGGATAATCTAAGTGGCTTTGTGGACCCAGGACTGGCCCTCCAAGATGCACAGGTGAGTCTGTGCCCTGCCCCTGCCATCTGGACTTGAGGTCTGACTCCTGGAAGCCTCACTAGTCCACCTACTCAGGACTTTCTTTGACATAGATTAAGCCTGGCTAAGCCAGAATCCTTCAGACTTTTGCTTTGTGGTGTCTGAGGAGGAAAGAGAGGGTATTAGGGACACTCAGAGAGGGGAAGGGAGGCCCAAGGGGGTGGGGAAGCTATTGTAACAGGATGGGCCTACATTCCTAAGGGAGTTAGGTCCAGAGTGATACTTGCATGTGTGTCTGTCTATGTCTGTCTGTCTACCAGGGGAGTATTCCCAGAGGTGAGGGGTAGAGGAGCATTTCCTAAAGTAGTTTGGTCCAAGTGCAGAGCAGAGCTTCTAAGCCAGAGCTATTGAAGAAGGAGCTCAGGGTTCTATGCACAGTCAAAAAAAAAAAAGCTGTCCTGGCTGAGTAGACAGAGGCTGACCCCAAGCTCTAGGGTTTTAGGTACTGTTCCTCACTTCCTTTGTCTCCTTCACCAACTTGTGGTTTTCCTGATCCTAGGATCTGTATGCAGCGGGCGAGAAGATCCGAGGAACCGACGAGATGAAATTCATTACCATCCTGTGTACCCGCAGTGCCACCCACCTGATGAGAGGTAGGGGCAGAGCCAGACAAGGCCAGGGAACACTCTTAGAGTGGGAGAGAAAGCTGAAGAGCCCTGGACCCTTCCTCTGATTGCCAAGAGGGAGGCAGAGGTGGTACATTGAGCTGCAGTCTATAATCTACACATCCCTAAATTGAGCTATCTCCCACAGTGTTTGAGGAATATGAGAGAATCGCCAACAAGAGCATTGAGGACAGTATCAAGAGTGAGACCCACGGCTCCCTGGAGGAGGCCATGCTCACTGTGGGTAAGAGACACATACTTTCACATGCATTTGCTCGCCAGCTCACGGTGGTGAGCCAAGTGATTGGTTCCAGTTCATTTGCAAGGAAACTCCTTTTGCACCAAAACTCTCAGCTTGTACCCCTTAGCCCAGGGCCCTGGGACAATTCCACCTCTAGAGATTCAGTGTGTCCTGCTGGGACTGTTCTCTGTACTGCCTGTGTGATCATGAGGGTTGTGTGAGTGTGTATATGCATGTGGGTGTGAGTGTGGGTTAGAGAGAAGAGAGACAGTGTGTGTGCACGGATGGGTGTTACACATCCTTATATTGTATGTGTTAGACTGTGTGTGTGTGTGTGTACATGTGTGTGTTAGAGACAAGGTGTTCATGTGTATATTGTGTGAGTGTGTTAATATGGGTGTATATATTAGGGAAACAATGTTTCTATGTATGTGAGTGTGTATTACACTGTGTGGATACAGATGTGTTGGAGACAATATATTTATGTGTGTTTTATGTGTGTGTGGAGACAATATGTTTATGTATATGTGTGTATGTGTGTATGTGTGTGAATATGTATTAGACAATGTGTGTGCCTGTGTAGGTGTTAAGCAGACAATGTGTTTATGTGTGTGAGAGATTGTGTGTCTTCATAAGACGATGTGTGTGTGTGTGTGTGTGTGTGTTCATGACACCAGGTCCAGGCCCTTGGCCCATGACAGCCATATAGGAAGCACTGTGGTCTAACAGTGTTACCCTGCACAAAGCTACATCGCCCTTGCCTCAGATGCCAGTCGAATAAATGGTGGTCTATGGTTTGAGTCCCAATGGAGAAGTTGATGATCTGACCCTGGGAACACTGTGAACCTCCCCCTCCTTGCAGGAGGCTGGGTTTACTTTGGAAGACCCATTCTAGAGTGCATCTAGAGTCCAGAGCTGAGATCATAATGGAGAGTCAGTGCAGAGTTGGGACCTTTACACAGAAGCCCAGACAGAGGGGCCTTTCCTCTAGGCCCTCAGATCCTGGAGCTGAGGTGAAGGCTTTCGGCTGTGTGCTCACTTCCAGTCCAGGTTGCCTCTGTAGAGATCTTAGCATTTAGGGAACTCCCTACTGTGTGAGATCTGAGCACCTCATAGAGACAAAATCCAGTCTATGTTGGAGCATCTGACCACCCTTGCTCTAACCTCAGCCACTCAAGTCTACCCCCAGATCCTAGATAATAACACCCAAACAGCAAAGGTATGCAGGGCCTCACGGTGCTAACACTTCCCCTTAAAGTCTCCTTAGTCTCTGAAGGTTGAGAATAAAGTCACACAGCACCCTGGAGACAGAGTGTAAATACACGTCGACCTTCCTCAAAACCCAGGCTCCTGTAAAGTTCTATGTTAACATGCCACCGCCCCAAGTGAGTGCCAGGCCTCTGAAGCACCAGTCAAGAAAGGAACATGCATTGAATAACAAGTAGAGGTCCTGCTAGATAGAGCAGGTCCCCTGGGTGCCTTAGTTGCTAGGATCAAGCTTCTCTTGGGAATTCAAAATGCAGAGTTCCTGGTTCAGAGGGTACTCTGAGGCCTGTGACCATCATGCTGTGACCCCGCTGTGCCACTGGGTGGTAGGATTCATGGTGGTGTCTTGTGGAGTTTGCTCAGAGGCTGTCCTGGTGGGTCTGAGCAGTCCTCTGATGGGCCTGAGCTGATGGCTACGGATGTGTCCTACAGGCTTTCAGTGTGTTTCACATTCTGCCCTTTAGCCTGCCTGTTCTGGACTTTTAGGGCTGAGCCCAGTGCCCTAGGCTCTCTTCCCTGTTCCCACCCACTTGAACACAAAGCCTCCATTTTGGAACTAGGCACAAAGAAATGTGCCTAGCCTTACCCAATGCTAACCCTTCAGACCTGCAATGAGACATAAATAACTAAAGATGTAGATAATTCCACCTACAACCTTCAGATATTAACAGAGCTTTTGTGTTTATCAGTGAAATGCACGCGCAACCTCCATGGCTACTTTGCTGAGCGACTCTACTATGCCATGAAGGTAAAGTTTTGTCTACTGCCTCCCTTACCATCAGTCCTGTGTCACACCACCTGCTAAGAAGTTCAGAGGCCATGGCTGCCTTCAACATCCGAGTTCCTCTGGTTCTTCTGCCATCAGAAAGGCTTTAGTTCTCAGAGGGAAAACTGAGCCTCGGCAAGGAAGACACACCTTCTAGAAGGTGAATTTAGGCAAGGAGTTACATGTGTGCACCATTCGTGGAGCTGGAAGCCTGGACACTGAACCTAAGCTTTTGTGTTCAAGGCTAGTGCTCTACCACTTGAGCCACAGCTCCACTTCTAGCTTATTGGTGGTTACCTTTGAAATAAAAGTCTCACAGATTTTCCTGCCCACACTGGGTTGGAACTATGATCCTCAGATCTCAGCCTCCTGAGTAGCTTGAATCCAAGCCTGAGCCCCGGATGCCCCGGATGCCCCTGAACTTTTGCAACAATATTGAGAACCTGTCTGGTAACTTCTAGTGATGGTGAAACTAAGGCCCAGATTCAAGGTCACTCAGTTGCTAAACAACAGAGCTGCAACTTGAATCCAAGTCCATCTGATTGTGCTTTTCCTGGCACTACTTGGCCTGGTGTTGGGAGGGGGTGGACTGTTGCTGGAAGTCACACGCAGACCAGCTCAGGGAGTAGCAGCTCCTACCTATGCTCAGGTGCAAACCTCATACTTCCTGTTGTGTAAAAGGCAACCCTATGTGCAAAAGCCGGTGCCCATAGCACTCAGCAGGTAGAGATTCTGGTATCTGGAACCCATTCAGTTTCCTGAGACTAAATTAAATGCCCACTTTCCCTGATGTATAATGGTTTGCATTACCTGAAACAGAACCATGCTAGCAACCCCAAGCCCTCTGGCCATGTCTGCACCAGAAATGAGAGAGGGCATGGAATTCCCTTGGCCATGAGGCTCCATTGGACACATGATTGATCAGAGCGCCCTCTAGTGGCTCTCACCTCTTATCCTAGCTACTCAGGAGTCTGAAATATGAGGATTATGATTCAAAGCCAGCTGGATCAGGAAAGACATGAAACTCTTCTCTCAAAAAGCCATAAGTAGAGGTGCAGCTCAAGTGGTAGGAGATAAAGTCTTGAGTAAAAAGTTAAGGACCAATGCACAGGTTCTGAGTTCAAGCCCTTCTATGAGAACCAAAAAAAAAAGGAGGGTCAGGTGCCAGTGGCTCACATTTGTAATTCTAGTTACTCAGGAGACTGAGATCTGAAGATCACTGTTTAAAGCCAGCCCAGGCAAGGAAAGTCCATGAGACTCTTGTCTCAAATTAACCACAAAAAGCTGGAAGTAGATGGGCTGGGAAGGTGGCTCAGTGGTAGAGTGCTTGCCTTGCATGCTTGAGGCCCTGGGTTCAATTCTTCAGCACCACATAAGCAAAAAGAAAAAAGCCGGAAGTGGCGCTGTGGCTCAAGTGGTAGAGTGCTAGCGTTGAGCTGAAGAGCTGAGGGACAGAGCCCAGGCCCAGAGTTCAGGCCCCACGACCGGACCCCCCCCCAAAAAAAAAGCTGGAAGTAGAGTAGTGGCTCATATGGTAGAGCACTAGCCTTGAGCAAAACAACCCAGGGACAGTGCTCAGGCCTCAAGTTCAAGTTCTAGTACCAGCACACACATATGCAACAAAGGCCAATCAGAGATGAAAAAGGGCAGGAGGGTGACATTGCTGCTCCAGGGAGGCATCTTCTTCCCAGATCAGTACTTTGTGTCCAGAATTTGACATGGTACAACAAACAAGCATTACAAGGTAGAGCATTTGGCTTTACTTCCCTCTAGAAATCCCCAGAACCCAGTCATACAGGTTACAGGTTTACCTATCACCCCAGAAATAACTAGGAAAGAGGAGATGTGGTGGTTAATTGATGCTGTCTTGTCTAGGGAGCAGGAACACGCGATGGGACTCTGATAAGGAACATCGTTTCCAGGAGTGAGATTGACTTAAATCTTATCAAAGGTCAATTCCAGAAGATGTATGGCAAGACTCTTAGCAGCATGATCGCGGTAAGCCATGCTTTCCCCATCCCAAGGTCTTAATTTGCATTAATTGTCAAAAGAGCTATTTCTCTCCAAGTTCATTGGAGGATTCTAGAACTTTTGCTACTTGTTATCTGGAAGTCTGCTAGCACTTAGCAAGTTTGATTTTAGAGTCTAGTATTATCAAAAAAAAAAAAAAAGGAAAAAAGCCAGCCATCAGTGGTTCATACCTATTATCCTAGCTACCCAAGAGGCTGAGATCTGAGGATCTCAGTTTGAACCTAGTAGGGACAGGAAAGTTTGTGTGTCTCTTATCTCCAATTAGCCACCAAAAAGCTGTAAATGGAGCTGTGGCTCATAGGAGTAGATAACTAGCCTGGAGCACAAAAGCTCAGGGACAGTGCCCAGGCCCTGAGTTCAAGGTCCCAGACTGAAAAGTGAAAAGCTCCATTTATGATCCACAGGTTTGATAAAGCAGACAAGATGATTCCAATTTTTAAAAAAGGAGAGAGAAAATTTTAAGACGCCATTAAAAATCAACAAGATTTCAGGGGAAAAAAATCTAAATTGTTAAAGAATCACTAATTCCCACGAGGCCTAACCTGTTTGAGGGCAAGGTGGAATAAGCCCCACCCCTTAGCACCCAGGGCATTAGATGAACCCACTCCGCTCTCTTGAGCCCGTTTTCCTCAACCATACCAAAAGGGAGCTTCATGATTTGGCCTTGTGTTTTCCCTCTGGCTGTGTGCCAGTCCTGTTGGGACCTACCAATGACTAAGAAATGGGTCCAGCCATCAGCACTGTGGAGCTCATCTTGTTGGGGGACAAACACTGCTGGATCCCTGACCTGAGCCAGCTGCTAAGTAGGCAACTCCACTTGCCTCACATCTCTGCAACACTTCATAGACCACAGAACAGATCCTATAGAAGTGAGCAGTCAATAACCATCTCCACCCCACAGCCCTGCCTCCCAGTGTGGCTCCAGGCTCCCTACGTTCAGCCTCAGTTCCTTGAATTGCAATCACAGGTCTTGAAGACATGTTGGTCTATGCTTAATAGGTAAATGGCTGAATAAGTGAATACTAGCTACTGAGAAGGCTAAGATCTGAGGATCTCTGCTGATCAAAGCCACCCTAGGCAGGAAAGACACAAGACTCTTACCTTCAAGTAACCAACAACTCCTAGATTGTAGAGCCAGTCTTGAGTAAGAAAGTGAGAGTAAGAGACCCAGAATTCAAGCCCCAATGCTGGCACAAAATAAATAAGTGAATGGCTGAGCACATCTGGGTTCTAAGTGAGGCCTTGAAAAGACAGGCCCCACCCAAGAAGCATAACTCAGCATTTATAACAACAGCTGCTCCTGATGAGCTGGACAGGGTCATAAACACTCCTTTTGAATCCCATGCCTTCTTCCCCCAGGATGACACCAGTGGTGACTACAAGAATGCCCTCCTGAGCCTGGTGGGTAGTGACCCATGAACGCACCAAATGAGCACAGAAGCCAAGAAACTGGAGTCTCCAGGGCCCTGCTTGTATGACCTTGGCCATGGGTGGGGTGGGGGGTGGGAACTTCAGTAGTCTTTTAGTTTTCTAGCTCCCAGTTTCAAGGGCTCTTCAGACAATGTTTTTGACCCAGAGGGTGAAACTACCCTGGGCTCCTCTTCTTCCACCATTCCCCAGGTCATTTCAGGATACGTGTGCAACCTGAGCATACCTCTAGAACAAATAAGTCCACATGAAGGGACCTGCAAGAGGTCAGAGGTCATCTCTTCCTCTCCAGATAGGAACTTTTCATTGGCACAGAATCATCTGAGCACAGGTTATACAGATATACCTTAGCCTTGCCCCATCTACTGAATCAGGGTCTGGGAGGAAGGAGGGAGGAGTCTGGGGAGGATGGCGGGATCCAAGGAATGAATATAGGATATCTAACACGTGTCTCAGACAATAGGCTTCCTTATTGGGCAACCAATAAGAAGCTCAAGAGAGAGCTTTGGTTTGAGGCACAAGCCTGTGAGCAACTAAAAAAGGGACCCATAGGTGCCAATTGGCAAGTCTATAACCTTCAACCATCCTCTTTGGAAAACCATAACAAAGTAATTACACCAGGTCTTCAAGGCTCAAACCTAGTCCCTGATGCAATCAGTGTTCTTTCCTTCCATTATGAAGCATGAAACACAGGGAAGTGCCCAGCCCTGAACAAAACTCTCATCCTAATTCCGTGACTTTCACCCTGATTTCATGCCCTTAGAGCCTGGATAATGGAGAAGCTGATGGAAGTCTTCTTATATATGTGTTGGGTTTTCCGAGATAATAAACATGTATACTTACAAAAAGTGTCAAGATATGAGTGTGGGTATGTGCACATGTGTTCAGTGGTACTGGGATTTGAACTCAAGGCCTAGGCACTGTTCCTTAGCTTTTCCGCTCAAGGCTGGCATTCTGCCACTTGAGCCAAAGCTCAGGTTGCCATGGTCTCCCAGTGGACATGTAGGAGTCTTTGAGTCTACCAGGAGTCACATGGCACCACTTCCTCCTAACTCTATTGATCAAAAATATCACAAGCCACCCCATTTTCAAGGAAAAGGGCCATGGACCCCACTTGTCAATGACTGGAAGATCAAAGAATTGAAAAGAGGTTTGTCTTGATTTTTCTTTGTGTGTAATCCCAGGGTTTGAACTCGGGGTCTGGGTGCTTTCCATGAGACCTGTTTTTGTTCAAGGCTAGTCCTCTACTACTTGAGCCACAGTTCCACTTCTGGTTTGTTTGCTGGTTAATTGGAGATAAAAGTCTCACGGACTTTCCTGCCTAGGCTGGGTTCAAACTGTGATCATCAGGTCTCAGCTTCCTGAGAGCTGGGATTTCAGTCATGAGCCATTAGTGCTCAGCTGTTTGTTGTTGTTTTTTTTTTAATCCACCATAAATGATACTCAAACTATGTAACTACCAGGCAGCACGACCCCCTCACAAGAATAGATGACATCTGTAGAGCTGGTACAGAGCTCTGGAGTCCACCCCTCAGGGACAGGCCTCCATCCCTGGCATTGGGTTGAAGAGTCAGAAGGTTGACAGTTACATACCAAAGTGTCTTACTCCATAACAAAATTCCACAGATAGCTGGATGGCTTAAACAACACATACTTCAACTTCATATCTCTGGATGCTATTATGTCTAAGAACAAGGTATTTGGTTTGAGGCGCAGTTCAGTGCCTCTGCAGGGCTGAGTTCCCAGCTAGCAGACAACTGCCTTCTTCTCACATGCCTGTCCTCCATGTTCATCCCAGAAAAAAAGAGCTCTCTCCATCTTCCTCCTCTTCTGAGACCACTGAGGACTTTACCACAGGGCCTCCTCTAACCTAGACTCCTTCCTGAAGGCCTATCTCAACACCACCCATCCCACAATGGCCAAGGCTTCCACACAGCCCACGCCACACCATGCAGAAGCAGCCCAAGACTTTCACAGAAACCTCCAACAGCTGTGTCAGGGTGTGGCACCTGGATACCAACTTGGGTGGTTGTTCTTTGTTTGTTGTTGTTGCTCAAGTCCTACCCTGAACTTCCTTTCAGTACTGAGTCACTGTCTGACTAACAATTGCCCTCTGCCAAAGTAATTGTGGAAGAACTTAGAGAACTCCTCTACCCTGCAACCCGCTGTCCCCTACCATTGACTCACGAGGCATGGATTCTGACAGTCCACCCCAAAATAGCCCTCATGTGGCCAGAGAGAAGCTGTAACCAAGGAAATAGGAAATGCCAGATCCAATTCGTGCCCAGCACTGGCATCTGTTTTAGGAGAATCACTTCTGCCCTTAGAAGAGACATGAGACAAAGCAGAAACAGAAGGTCCCCTTAGGTTCGAGGAAACACAATCTTCCTCAGAGGTCAGAGTGAGAATTGTCTCCCCCTAGAGGTGACCCCAACTGTGTGTTATGTACCAGATAACTCTCATGGTGGCTGGGGAAGGACATTAGCTACACACTCAGTACTTCCAGATCTTTTTTTTTTTTTAATTTGCTTGGAATAATCTTCCAGACTCTCCTAAGCAAACAGTCACATTCCAAAAATAGTTTTGAAATTGCTGTTTGAGATGTTTGTTTTACCTATCTTGTTCTTGGTGGGTTTTTTTTTAAAGATAGTTTTTGAGGGTCTGCTTAATGTGGTTTCAGCAAAGGAGAAAAACAAGGCATCACCACAAAGATTCTCTGTGTGGCCAAACTTTAGTCAGGCTCCTGAACTTTCTTCCAAGCACATAGTGCACTTCCTTATACAATCTAGTTACAGCAGAAGTTCTGTGAGGTCCAGTCAAGCAAGAACCCCAGTCCTCTCTGTCTAATGACCCTCCTCCTTTCCCAGTCTTACCCTGAGTAGTTTCTGATCACATGGGCCTCTCTACAAACAAGCATCCATCCTGCTTTTGTGCTGTTGAGTGGATAGGACTAGAATATTGGCCTTGGCTTATTTACTGTTTATCCTTGACCCTTTATTCCTTTCCCAGAATCCTCTTGGGCAAGGGATAAAGAGAGAGGTGGATTTGTGACCAGCAACTCTATTGTTATTATAGTTTTAGTGTGTAGCTTTGTTATTATACCTGCCATCATGTGGAGGCTGACCAGGTAGCTAAGGGAAGCTTGAAGAGTTCTGCAAGATGATGATTTAGTGCTTATCAGGTAGCTGGAACAGGAAAGAACATTCCAGACAGGGAGGAAGCCAAAGGCAGAAGGAATCTGGTCTGTACCAGGCACTAAGAGAATGTTATGTGCATGCCCTGAGAAGAAGGGAGAGTCAGAGATAAAGATGGCAGGGTAAGTCAGGGAGAGCTGTGCTGCGGGCTGAGAGATTCAAAGGGTTCCTAAGACAATGGTGAGCCTTAGCAGAAGAAAGGAAGGGAAGGATCATGGCTGACACCAGTGACATTTCCGGCAGCAATATGGCAGTGAACATGCTTAGGTGAGCCTGGAAATTGGAGCCCAGCATTGGAGCTATTACCACTCTCTGTGGATGCACAACCAGGTTCCACCAGCCTTTTCCACATTAGCATTGTGTGGTTCTGATTTGATTTCCCAGATGGAATCCAGCCTTGGTCATCTTCAGCCTTGATCCTCATGAGCTTTTTGAAATATTTGAGTCTATCCCAAGCTACTGGGTCTCTGTCCCCTTAGTAGGGAGCAGAGTCTGTATTCTATAGCTCCTACCCAGATAGGATAAGTATTTGAAATTACTTGTGAGCCCTATGCCTGAGCCTGAGGTCCTAGGCCTGAACTTTCCATAGCTCCATATTGGTGTCCAAGCTTCCTCCTGGTTTGTGGCTGAGGTGGACACTGTTGTCCCATTGGCTTTTCCCTCCTTCCAGCCTATCATTGGCTTTGCATCTAGCCCAGCTTGAGAATTATGATGTGAGGTAGACTCCTGTCAGTCCCAGACCCGAGTCCTTTAGGTACCGCAGGATGTCCTGTCTGAACTGGCTCTGCCCCCTTTGCTCAACCTGACATGCCAGAGCATCCCCAGACCCACAGCTTTGTAGCCATAGTTTAATCTCCAGGACTAGGCACTCCTATGCTACCAGAAAGCCTTGCTGTATGGACACAGGAGAGCCGTGACCTCTCCACAATTACCCAAGTCTTTGCTAAGTTCCTCCTTCTACTCTTTGATGTCATCCTTCCCCCTGCCTCCCCTTGCAACCCTACACAACTCATGAAGCGTCCCCCTCCTCTCAAAACCCCCTTTGTATAGGCCCAGGGACTGAGGCTGGTTGATGGCTGTTTAGAGTTGGTGCCAAGTTGGCCTGGAAACCTGCTCTCATAATGCCCTCTAGTGGCTGACATTGTGCAGGAGAAAGGCTAAATGGCAAAGCAGAGAAGCTGAGGGACAGCGGAGGGAGAAATCTGGCCTTCCTTAGAATCTGAGTAGGAGAAGTTTGTGTTTTCTTGATTCCAAATTTCTTTTTGATTGTTATTATAAAGGGGATGTCACAGTTACATACATTTTGGATCATGTCACCCCTTCCCTCACTCTCTCCCAGTTTTTCCCCTCCCATTCCCACCCACAAGTTGTATAGTTCATTTTCAACCTAGTGTCCAGTGAGTACCACTGCTGCATTTGTTCACCCTTCATCTCTCCATTTCTGTGCTCCCTTATCCTCCCAAAAACAGATAAACAAACAAACAGAAAAAACAGCACAAAAGGAAAAAACTCTTGTTTCCATTCCCTTGAGTTAATTTGATAAATATTCTTTTGTATGATCAAGAGGCACATAAGCATTGTGCTTTTGTGTTCACCTCCTAAGAGTGTCCTCCTTTGGTCTCACTGTGTGTGAAGGCCTAGAATAATGTATAATTTAACATGTCCTGGTGCAATTTAGATCTAGCTTTTGCATATGAGAGAAAACATGTGCCATTTGTCACTCTGAGCTTGGCTCACCTCATTTAACATGATTTGTCATAGGTCCATCCATTTCACTGCAATGACATAATATTATTCTTTCTAATGGTTGTGTAAAATTCCATTGTGTATAGATACCTCATTTTTTGATCCATTCATCTACTGTAGGGCAATTGGGTTGTTTCTACAACTTAGCTATTTGTGAATAGTGCAGCAATGAGAATGGATATCTAGGTGTCCTTTTCATAACCTGGATCGTGATGTTCAGGGTAGATGCCCTGCCCAAGAGTGGTATGGCTGGGTTATAGAGAAGGTCCACATTTAGTTTTCTGAGGAACCTCCAGACTGCTTTCCAGAGTGTTGTACTAGTTCTCATCCCCACCAACAGTGTGATAGGGTTCTTTTTTTCCCCCACATCCCTGCCAACGTTTTTTGTTTAAATTTGTAATATTGGCCGATCTAACTGCGGGGGAGATAGAATCTCAGAGTTGCTTTGATTTCTATTTTCTTTATGGCCAGGTGTACTAAGTAGAAGATAGCCATAATGTTCAGAAAGTAAAGACTTGTTCCCAGAGTTGGTGTGTGTGTGTATGTGCGAGTATGTGCACACCCATGAATGTGCACTCACACTCATGCCACATTTCCAGCCTTGCTTTTTGATGGTTACTTTGGAGACAAAGTCTCATGAGCATTTCTGCCTGGGCTAGCTTTTAACCTCAGTCCTCTAGATCTCAGACTCCTGAGTAACTTCTGACTATATATCTATAATCTATAATATATCAGCCATCAGCACTGGGCTTGTCAGTATTGTTGTTGTTGTTTAAGAAACACATTTTCAACTTGATGGTAAAAATTACATAAATATATTGCATGTTGTTCAAATCAAATAAAGTATTTCCTTAAACATGTACATTTTTGGTGGAAATATTA